GCTATGTTATCTGGTCCCAGGAATGCCAAGGTCATACCAGCGTGAGTCCAGGAGAGACCAGCAAGAGAACAAGAATGTCTATGGGATGGAAGTGGGGAGTGAACGGAAGGGGAAAGAAAAGGTTTGGCATGCTTGGGCTTTTTAGTTTCAGCAATGCTTTTGAGACTGTACACTTCTCCTCAATAAATGAACTTTTCTTTGAACTTATCTGAGTCTCAAGGAAGTCAACTTTATTGGGAATTGAGCAGGGCGGTTCTCACAATGGGAGAAAAAAGGACTTCTGAACTGGGTCAGTAAGAATGAATGGGGGGCAGGAATGCTGAAAAGTGAAGATCTACGTGTGACCAAACATGGCCAGGAGATTTTACTTTGGGGAACTGGAAAAAGGCCTCATACTAAGGGTCGTTTGGCTGTTTTCCCACATGAAGTCCCTGCCAGCATCCACTCTGTGAGACACAGAACTGGGGAAGGTGATACTCTTGTTTGGGACCTATGCAAAATATTTTTTATACATAATTGTTATAGTTATAACAATTGTTATAACTGTTTGCATTCATGGATAAAATACTGTATAGGAGGGTTCTGCCCTGGGGGAGAAAGGTGGGGTGTAAGTAGTCTGGCCTGAGTAATGATCCCAGACTGGGAGGCAGCCTTGCCTGCCAGGAGCCAAACCCTCAGCCCCATGCAGGAATATGAGTGGCAGCATCTCACAGGCAGCTGGTTCCCTTATTGAGCAGCTCTTGCCACTGAGGAATTTTTTCCTAGAATTCGGCTGAAACCTGCCTTTGGGTACCTAAGAAAGATACATGTATGCATTTGTTTGCTTGCCTGCAAGTGGAAGACAATTTTAAACAACACACAATTCCCCATCTTCATATGTTCAGACTTAAACAAAATGAAAAGTAACAGTATAGGACAAATCAATACCAAAAAAAAAAAACCCCAAGAGGAAAAATATAAAAATGTCACCCCCTCCCTCGTTTCTTCTGAGGCTAAGCAAAGTCAGTCTCTGTTCATAGGATTCAGGGCTGAGTCAGCGGCCTTCTACTTTCCACTCATTCCAGTCCTCCCAAGTGGGTTCCGAACAATGCAGGACGGAGGGTCAGGCCCGCCCCAGTGTTCGGATCTGGGCCTTTCAGTCCAAATGAATCAGAAGCCACCAAAAGAGTCAGAAGTTATATTCCACAGGAGGTCACTTTCTCTTTGGTCCAAATTCTGGATTTTGGTCATGCCACCTGCTAATTAGCTGAGTTGTTTAGAAGGCTTAGATTCACTGCCTTTAAAAAAAAAGAATGTAGATTTCAATCCCTTATGGAATTTGAGATAGGAAGCCAGGTATACAGATGGCATTCTGCTCCATCATTCATTGTAAGAGGAAGGCATTCCTTCTTGCATTAGATTAGTTCATCCCCTTGAAGTCACCACTGCTGTGCTTGACGTGCATGGGATTTAGGGATCATCACCATATATTAAGTAAGAAGAAGAAAAAGGAAGAGCTTGTGGCCCTTTCTCATACAGGAGGACCTAGCACACAAACCTACAACCATTCTGTAAATTGCACCCCACACCAGTAAGAGGTTGGTTGCAGGCTTTTTTGTCAACACACTACTTACACACACTGGGTTGCACAGGTTAGGGGAATTGGAAGGTGTCATTCCTAGAGTAGCAACAAGTCAAAGCAATCGGCATTGGGCAGAGTCAAGGGCAGGCCACCAGAAAATAAGACCCAAGGCAGCAAAGAGGGACCAGAAGCCAATGCTTGGGGAGCTGTAGCAAAGAGAATTCCCTTGAATTAAAAAGCTAATCTAGGGCTTGTAGGGCCATGATGGCCCTGGGCTCAGCTGACTGGACAGCAACGCATCTCTGAAGTTTGGGACCTAGCATAGCAGGCTTGCCATGGCAGGGAGAGTCTGACTGACAACAGCTAGGTTTTGCAAAGCTTCAAGGAGATGCTTGTATCTGGGGACTGGTTGAGCAACTCATCTCATCCCATCAGTGTTATGAACTGCTGAGCTATCTCTTCACAGAGCTCCAGAGGAATTATATCAAAAATCTATTGCAGTGAAACTCTTGAAGGTTCCCAGCTGAAATTTTGTAAGATTAATATCCTTGCTACGTTCTTCCCATTCTGCCAAAATATGAAGTAGCTGTAAGAGTCCTGATGTTTTTGTATGAAAGCCAGTGAATAATTTTTTCTTCTACATTGAATCCTGAAGCACTTAAAATTCAATTGATTTTCCCTCCACTCACAATATGCAAACCGAGACAGACTCATGCCCTCTTCAGATCTTGAACTACCAACTTCAGGATGAGTTGAAGCATACTGACAACTCCATTTCAAGATGTACACTTTGGGGAAAGGTAATATTCTAAGCGCGCAAGAAAAGTAGGCTCCGTATGGATTGTGACAGTCACCTTCCTTATCTTAGCGTGACTAAACCCATGAGTATAAAGAAAAGGCAAGTATGTGTTAGATGCGCTCCAGGGGAAAGACATGTGTTATAAGCCAAGCTATGACCAATCTAACCTGTCATGACAGTGAATGAAAACGGGCCTGGTGCTCAGTTCCTCTCCGGCTGTGGATGGTGTTCTGGGCTTACCATTCAGAGTTGACTTCAATATGTGCGTCCAAAATAGCCACCACATCTGCACGGGCTGCTTTCCAGCCAGAAATCCGAGCTTCTGTGAGGCCTTTTCTTTCTCGATGTCTTACAATTTTCAGCAGTCCAGGGTGTTTGACGTTGACATTGTCGATATAGTCTTCCAAAGGACCTTTCAGTTCCTCTGAAAAAAAATGTAACAGATTTTAAAAATATTAATTTGAGATGTTTATGCCAGAATACAGGAGGAAATCCCAGTTTGGATACACAGTTAAAATTTTCATTCTCTCTTTTTTATTTAGCAGTGTTGAGAGATAATTGGTTGCTAAAATAATAATAATAATAATAATAATAATAATAATAATAATAGCAGCCCCCAGTGAGGCACTACCTTGACGTGGTTGTGGGGCTTGCGTGCTCCATGGAGGATGACAGCTATGCCAGAGGTTCAACCATACTGGACAGCTCTCATCAGAGGAGCCAGAGAAAGATTGCCTCTCCCATAAACAATTCGGTGAAAACGTAATTTATAAAAGCCCATACTGGATCAGTCACCACCCAGGTCAACAAGGACTGCACTAGGTGACACCCACATCTGGTGACAAGTGGGCTACGGGACTCAGGACTGTTGGCTGAGCAACCAGGGCCAGCAGCTGCAGGACTACTGGAAGAAAAGTTGTTTACCCATCCCAAATATACAAAGACTGAAAACAAAGAAATAATTCTCTGCTATTACAAATCAAGTCCAACAAAAAGAGGATATCTGAAAAGAATGCATCAGTTCTGGAAAGAAAAACATCCAGAATCAGAAATAACAGAACAGAGGGTAGCAGTTCAATGTCAATTTATAATACGAAATAAAGTAGTCACAGAAGTAGAATTGGAACAACTGCAAAGGTCTACCCAAAGAAATCGAAGCCTTGCCAGAAGTAGCTCAGACTGTAGAGGCAAACCAGGGGGAGACGGCAGTAGAGGAAGCCAGCATAACTACTGAATTGACTTCATTCCCAAACCAGGCACTCTCTCCTCTGCCTTCCCTTCAGAAAGAACAAAGCCCACTAACTAAAAAACAAGAGGAATTGAAACAAAGAATAACCGAGCATCTAGAACAGCACAATGCGAACAGAATAAGGTTGCCTGCAGTGAAGCTTGTTACAAAGAAACAGCTAGTACAAGTATTAAATGATGCCAATACTGTAATAACAGATACAAGCACCAGCTCACTGCAAGAAACAAACCAACTGATGTACAGCACAGCTGCAGTTATAACTGAATAGCTTGGATGCAAAATCAACCAACAAGAAAAAAAAAGCCAAACAGTGCACCACCAAAATGGAAAATCAGGTTGAAAAATAAGATCAGCATGCTAAGACCCGATGCAAGCAAGCTAGAACAGATGAAAGAAAAGAAGCTGAAGAAGAAGATGACCAAAGAATACCTGATCAAGAAAGATCACCTAGAAACAAGGAAGATCAAAG